CTGGGAGGACTGGGCCCCACAGTGGGGTGGGAGCCCAGTGGTGCAGGGGCGCGGCCCACGGCCAGCACCAGTGTGTGGGTGTGTGCGGGATGAGACGTCCCCCGTGCCCTGCTGGGTCCGCTCCTGCGTGGCCCCGCTGGTGCCCGGTAGGTGGCCCCTGACGGGCGCCTCAGCTGCCCAGCTGGCTGCCCTTGCGTCTGCTGCCCGCTGGGGTGGGCTCTGGCCCTGGGGCACGCGGCATGTGTGGGTGACCTTAGGAGCTGGGGCCTTCGCCTCTGGCCCCGGTGGACGGTGCTGGCCGTTGCTGGGCCACCTGGCGTGAGCCAGCTTGACCGGAGGCCGCCTGGCCACAGGGACGTGTGTCTGGACAGCCCTGCGACCCAGCGGCTGAGCTTTCCACAGGCACATTTGAAAACCTTATTGTAGGGAATTTGCAAATTATAAGAGCAAAACGAGAATGTTTCCAGCTGCCTCTCTCCGCAGGGCTGGGTCTCCCGTGCCTGGGCAGCGACTGCTCTTGCAGGTCCCCGTCCCCCTGCGCCCCCCAGCCCCATCCCCGAGTGTCCCCCCAGTCCCAGAGGGGCGCCTTGCCCCACCCTCAGACGAGCCTGCGGCTTCTTCAAGCAGAGAAGGAGGTGTTGACCCTCATCTCCTCCGCCCAGCGCGCCTGGCAGACAGTGGCCAGCGCGGGCGCCCCCAGGGTGCAGGAGCCCGGTCCTGGGGTCTCCCCTCCTGAGTAGTGGCAGAGCCGTGGCCACGTGCGCACGGGGTGGTGAGGCCGGGGAGCGAATGCAGGGTCCGGGCGGGGGCCGAGGCCCGGGCGGCGCGAGTGCCGGGCAGGCGTGGATGAGCCCCCAGGACACCCCACCGGCCGCTGTCTCCCGGTCCACGCTCTGATGGGCAGTGAGTGCGTCCCTCCCAGCCTGGCCCTCACCGCCATGGCCAGGCCGCCAGGGCCAGCGGTTCAGGCGGCCTGGAGTCCTGAAGACAAAGGCCTGGCCAACCCTGGCGTCCGGCGGCCAGGCCTGGGGAGGGGGACGGGCTGGCAAGGGCCTGGCAGGGCCGGCTTGTGTCGGGTGGCGGCCCTCAGGGCAGCAGGATGTCAGTGCTGCGCTGAGCAGTGTCGGGGGTCAGCGTGGGGTGCAGCCTGGAGGGCAGCGAAGGGGTCAGTGAGGGGGATGAGCCTGGGGGGGCAGCTGCCTCCTTGGAGTGGTGGGGGGCTGTGGTTTCATGGGCTCAGGCTTGATCGTTCACTCAAATCATCAGAGCAAGACTTCACAGCCGGGGGAGGGCAAAGGGGCAGAGCCCGGGAAGGGGGTCCCCCGACCCTGCGGACCCCGGCCCGGGGGCTGGGCCTGTCTCCTCCCCCCGCCAAGGACAGGTGTCTGGACCAGCGCACCGGGCGTGCCCCCGCGACACGCGGAGCAGGCCCCTGGCCGGGACACCCTCAGGTCCCGCCGAAACCCCCACCCCCGTGAGGCCTGCCCCTGGGTCCGCCGCGTGGCCCTGCCTCGCCCTCCTTGCTGCGCCCCACAAGTTCTGAACCTGATGTCACTCCGGAGCGTCTGCAATGTCCGAATTTTTACACATTCCCTATGAATTTTAAAACTTGCTTTTGAATGTCCGTAAAGCACCGGTTCCGCTGGGAACTGAATTCTGCTGGCTGTGCGTCTGCATCGCGGTCTGCGGTCAAGTGTCGTCCTAGAGACCCCGAGCCCAGTGGCCCAGGGGGGGCTCCCCGCGCCCCACGCTCCCCCACGGCCTCAGCCCGGGCCTCGAGGCGCGCCTGGACGGGCGGGTGCTGCTGTCAGTGGCGTCGCTTTTACAAGTTTTGCTTTCTCATTCTGGCTGCTGGTGGACGGGACTGTCGATATTTGTTTGATTTGGCTATTGCTGTCCAGGGGCGTCCCAAAGCTCCTGCCCCCGTTTATTCTGATGCCCCTCCCAGCGCCATCCCAGTGGCCGCAAACGGCCCCTGGTCATGGTTCTTGCCAGCCGAGTCCTGTTCCGCCGCGTGCCTGGCCGGGTCCTCCTGGCCCACTGCTGCCCCGGGCAGTGCGCGCCCAGCCCGGGCTGCCGTAAACCCAGCTGCGGTGACCCGGGCGCGGCCTCCGGGGGAAGTAGCAGCTGCCCGGGAGGGGAATCGGGGCCAGTGGCAAATCCGTTTGATGCTTATTTTGCACTTGAGAAGCTTTTTAGTTCTAGCGGCTTAAAAGTAACCGCTTGGATTTTCTTTTTTCTTTTTTTTTTTTAAAGATTGATTTATTTATACACGCCCTGGGGTACAGACCCCGATGTGTACACCCCGGGTACACCCCGGGGTGTCTCCGCGGGGTGAGAGCCCCGTTTGCTCAGACGTTGTGGAGGCTCCGGGGTCTGTGGGGTCGGGACGTGGGTCTGCGGCGTCTCTGCCGGGGCGACGTCCTTGTCTGCCTCAGGGTCGGGACCCCGGGGCCTCTTGACCTGCTCCTGCAGCCCGGCCCCCCGGGTCCCTGCGGAGGGAGAAGCACGGGCCGGGGTTCCCCGGGGGTCGGGGCTCACTAATAAGACCCGCAGGCCCCGTGGTGCTGTGAGGGGAGACTCGGGATCCTGTGTCCACTGTCCTGCTGGCAGCTGGTCTGTGGGTTTCTGTCCTCCTGACTCTGGCCTGAGGGGATGTTTGCGCCTGAGGTTCTGTGCGTCTGTTTCTTGCTCCTCCCAGTTGCCGGCCCAGACACGACCCCGGAGCCCCCAGGACCCTCCCTCTCCAGGGTCTGTGGCCGTGTCTCCTCCTCCCTGTCGCCTCCTGTTTATCTGCGTCTCCCGCTGTGGTGCTGAGCACAGGTTTGTGTGATGCTTCTTCCTCCAGCACCACCTTCTGTCTCCCTGCGTGTCTCAGCTGTGGTTTCACTTGTGTGTCCGTTTTCTTCAGCTCTGGACAGAGTCTCCTTCCTGCCGCTGGCGTTGGAGTCATTTGCTCTGCTTCAAACTATGGATTCTTTGAGTATTTGAAACCAATTTCTGAAACAGTTTCCAGAGTTTCTGGATAATTCCTTCAGGGACAATGTCCGTCTAATCACCGAGCCTCCCCTGTGTCCCCTGGGTCAGGCCTGCTCTGTCCCTCCCTGGGGGGTGTTGGCCGAGTCACAGGCTCTGGCCACGGGTCGTGACTCCACCTGCTCTGTCTCTGCGGGGACGTGTCTCATTCCATCCCCCACGAGCCACCGTCGGGCCGCGGGGTCGTCACGGTCTCCCCTGGGAACGTTTCTCAGGCTCTCCCCGTGCGGACAAGTCCCAGTTTGGGGCCCTGTGCCCGGGGACGACACAGACACGATCCCCACGGTCACGACGTGTGGCACCTGCTGTTCACTGTCCTCTGGGGAAAAGCGGGTTCACATCCTCGCGTCTGCTCCTCGGGTCCCGGGTCCACACTCACACAGGCGCCCTCACACCCTCCATGCCCTGGGCTCCCCAGGGCCCCCACACATTCCATGGGCTGCTCCTGCCCCACACCAGTCCCCCCCCCTCCCCTCGGTGGCCCCAGTTCTGCACTCACACGTCCAGGTGTATTTCCGCTTTGGTTCCTGCTGCCCCTTTGCCTGTTTCTCTGTCTGCACACGGAGGTGCCGACAGCGTGTGTCTTTCTCCTGCACTCGCTGCTCTCAGCGCCGCCTCGCGGGTCCCCCACGCTGCTGCCAACGCGGGCGTCCGTCCTGCGCTACAGCCGCGGGCTGCGCCGTGAAGAAGCGCCTCGTGCTGCAGAGCCGTCCGTGTCCTCCTCACAGGCGGTTCCCCCCGGCTGTGCCCGCAGGGCCGCGTCAGCACAGGGCAAGGCCAGGCCAGCGCCCTCGGCACGGCCCAGGGGACGTCCGCGTGGCCTGGGCGCCCGAGACCGGGGAAGCCAAACGATGTTAACACATGGGGCGACAACGAATTAAAATGGTTCCGGGAATGAAAGAAACGATCAGAAACACAAAGACACCGGGGGGCCCTGTGGCTCGAGTGGCTCAGTCTCTGCACGATGCAGCTCTCCACAGCCACTGCAGTCCCAGTGCGATCCCCACACAGGGAGCTGCCCGCAGGGGCCGCAGACCCCTCCTGTCTCCCCGCTGCTCCCCTCAGCAGTGGATTTCAGTAGAGCTGACTGTTCTGCTCCCCACTCTGTCTCTGGGGAGTTTTCGCGCCCCTGGACCTTTGCCCTGCACCCCAGGTCTTGTATGCATAAATAAATAAAACTTTAAAAATAAACAGAAGACACCAATTAATGAGACACAAAGGCACAGTTCAACATATTTGTTTTCCAGACTAGATGGAAACCATGAATTCTGCAAAAGCAGAGGCACGAAAATGCGAATACTATCCACAGACTCAGGGGTGATGCTCGCGTGGGTGCATGTGAGACATGTCCATTGTGAAGCATGAACACAAACGAAAAGTCACAACAAAGAAGCAACCATTGCAACTGAAATGTCACTTCAGGCAAAGGGCAGACCCAAAACATAAAGATCTCAATGAGAAGACCCCACAGAGCACGTGTGACACCAGCACCTGGGCCTGCGTCACAGCAAGTAACAGGGGCTCAGGGTCACCAGCTCTGGCCCTAATAAGGGACCTGCTCATCGTGTGTCATGACCCCACGTCCCAGGACCCTCCCCGGCTCCTCTGCCCAGACCCAGCCAGAGCTGCTATATAGCAGGACACATGCAAATAGAGCGTCCCCTGCTGCTGAAAACCAGCCCGGGCAGGGGGCGGCCGCTCCGTCCCCATCCGGCCTCCTCCCTGTAGCCCCTGGACCCCTGCGTCAGCCCACCCCGCCCAGCTCCATGTTTGCCCCAAAGGCAGGGCCCGGAACCCCAGGCCCCCCCAGCTGAGCGGAGGCCGCCCGCCCCCGCCACGCCCCTGACTGTTACCTAAGGCCCGTGGCCCGCCCAGGGCAGGGCCTGTGTCACTAGGGGCCCCGGCAGGAGGGGCTGAGCGGGGTCAGGGCTGGCTTCGCACCCTCTCTCCAGTCTCACCGGCGCATGGCTCCGAGCAGGACCACGGGCCAGGCCGGCCTCAGGGCCGCCCGCCTGCTGCTGGCGCTCTGTGGGCTCTGGGCGGTGCTGGCCCCGGGCCAGGCCTCCCCCGGCCGCCCCTCGTGGCGCTACGTGTCCTCCGAGGTGGTGATTCCCAGGAAGGAGCTGGGCCGTGGCAAGGGCGTCCGCGCGCCCGGCTGGCTCTCCTACAGCCTGCGCTTCGGGGGCCACAGGCACGTGATCCACGTGCGGCGCAAGAGGCTGGTGTGGCCCCGACACCTGCTGCTCATGACCCAGGACGATCAGGGCGCCTTGCAGGCGGACTACCCCTTCTTCCCCTTGGACTGCTACTACCTGGGCTACCTGGAGGACGTCCCTCTCTCCATGGTCACCGTGGACACCTGCTACGGGGGTCTGCAGGGGATCATGAAGCTGGATGACCTTGCCTACGAAGTCAAGCCCCTCCGGGGCTCCCCCACCTTTGAACACGTCGTGTCTCAGCTCGTGGCAGACGCCAACGCCACGGGGCCCACATACCGGCTGGGGGAGGAGCAGGTTGTGGACCCCCAGCTCGCCCGAGCCAACGTCCTTGTGGGCCCCCGGTTATCCAATAAGATTTTTGCATCCCATGTGGCACGTATAAAAGCCCTGCTCTTCGGCTCCAAGTCAACGCACGACATGTTTGGCAACGTGTCCAAGACCGCCCAGTTCCTCATGCAGATGGCCAGCCTGATGGACACGCTGCTGCAGGGCCTGGACATCAGGTACTACATTGGCAGCCTCATCGTATACAACAAGGGGGACCCCACGAGCCTGACGCCTTACCATTATCGTAACAGCCCCTTCTCGCTGTACTACCAGCGCTCCCTGTTCATGGCCCTCTTACCCCACTCCGCGTTCATGCTGATCCGGGAGGGGCCCCACGAGCTCGAGTACTTGGTGGAGCCCTACAAGGTGTGCTTTGGGTTCAACATGCTCATGCTGGGCCACCTCGGCAGACACGTCCTCCAGCTGTCCATCTTAGCTACCCATCAGACCGCCAAGAACATTGGCGTGTTTGTTGACGGAGAATACTGCACCTGCCAGCGGCGGACCACCTGCATCATGAACCTGTACCCGGTGCTGACGGACGCCTTCAGCAACTGCTCTTTCGTGCACCTCCAGCATGTAATGCGGAACCCACTTGTGATGGCATGCCTGTATGACCAAGGCAGGGAATACTACAACAAGAGCCTGACCCACGAGCGCTGCGGGAACAGTGTTCTGGACGCTTCCGAGCAGTGCGACTGCGGCTCCTTCAAGCAGTGCTACAGCAACTCCTGCTGTAAAACCGACTGCAAGTTCACGCCCCAGAGCGTCTGCGACACCGGGCTCTGCTGCACCAACTGCAAGTTCTCCCCGGCCGGCACGCTCTGCAGACCCGCCGTCAGCATCTGCGACCTTCCGGAGTACTGCCGGGGCGACACCCGGGCCTGCCCCCGGAACGTCCACATGCAGGACGGAACCCCGTGCTCCGAGGAGGGCTACTGCTACCGTGGAAACTGCACGGACCGCACCATGCACTGCAGGGAGATCTTTGGGGAGCACGCCCACGACGCCCCTGATGCCTGCTACGCGATCAACATCAGGGGCAAGCGCTTTGGACACTGCAGGAGAGAGAGGGGTAAAAATAGCTACGTGGGTTGTCATGCCGCGGACGTGAAGTGCGGACGGCTGCAGTGTGCCAACGTGACCCATCTCCCCCGGCTGCAGGAGCACGTCGGATTCCACCAGTCTTTGCTGGCAGGGTCCTGGTGCTTTGGGGTGGATGAGCACCGAGGCACGGAAACCACGGACGTCGGCCACGTGAGAAATGGCACCCCCTGTGCCCGTGACTTGTTGTGTCTCGAAAACCGATGCAGCGGGCGCATCACCGACATAGGCTACGACTGTCTGCCCACGAAGTGCAGCCTCCGAGGGGTCTGCAACAGCAACAGGAACTGCCACTGCCACGTGGGCTGGGACCCTCCCAGGTGCCTGAAGCGTGGCGCGGGCGGGAGTGTGGACAGCGGCCCCCCGCCCAGAATGTACCGCTCAGTCAAACAGAGCGAGATGCCCCTGGTCATCCTGAGAATAGTCTTCGCGCGCATTTACACCCTCATAGCTGCGCTGCTGTTCGGCGTGGCCACAAACGTGCGGACGATCGTGACCACCAAAGTCAAAGAAGTCACGGTGGACGAAGAGAAAGCCAAAACGGACGAGGACCAGCCAAACACCCCCCTCACGGCCCGGGCGAAGCCCGAGAAGTAGCGTCAGTGCCCGGCCTGAGCCGGCGCGGGCGCGGGCAGCCGGACCTGCAAGGCCGGGAGGCCGGGACCCTGGGGAGGGGCCGCGCTGCCGCCTCGCCCAGCCTTTGGCCCGTCGTGGAACGAATGAAATAAACCTTGAAACCGCACGTCGGTGTCCGCTGGGTAATCTTGTCCGTGTCCTGCAGCCCCACCTGAGCCCACGCCAGGGGCAGGAGCTGAGACCTGACTCCCAGCGGGCGCCGACCTGGGCCTCTGGTCCCAGAATCAACGGACGTTCCCTCAACTCCTTTAAGGGCGAGTTCACGCCTTTCTCCATAATGGGCATCTTGGGCGCTGAGCTCTCCCGCCCCCTATGCCATCCCTCCTTCCCCAGCCCGTAGTGGGCTGTGGCCAAGCAGGTCACCCCCAGGAGCGCCGCCTGTCCACCCAGGGCAGCCGTGGGCAGTGGGCTGGGCTCAGTCCAGCTGGCCAAGCTGACCGCGGGAGCACTTTCCCTGGGGGTGGCGGGGGTAGGGGTGGGGCCGCGCTGGGGGCCGCGCTGGGGAGAGGACAGAGGTGCCGAGAGCGGCTGTGCCCCGCAGAGGGGTGCAGGAGCTCCCCGCGTCCTTCCCGCCCCTGCCTCTGCGCCAGCTCCGGGGCGCGGGGTGCGGGGGTGCCGGGGCAGCACCCCCTCAGCTGAGCCATGCCCGGTTGTTGAGTCGTTGCCTGGCGGCGACCCCCAGCACACCCAGCACACCCGCCGCGTGCCTGGCCGGGTCCTCCTGGCCCACTGCTGCCCCGGGCAGTGCGCGCCCAGCCCGGGCTGCCGTAAACCCAGCTGCGGTGACCCGGGCGCGGCCTCCGGGGGAAGTAGCAGCTGCCCGGGAGGGGAATCGGGGCCAGTGGCAAATCCGTTTGATGCTTATTTTGCACTTGAGAAGCTTTTTAGTTCTAGCGGCTTAAAAGTAACCGCTTGGATTTTCTTTTTTCTTTTTTTTTTAAAGATTGATTTATTTATACACGCCCTGGGGTACAGACCCGAGGCGCGGGAGGGTCGGAGGATCCACCAGACACAGAGCAGGGAGCAGAGCGGGCAGAAGGAGGGAAACGCACTGCTGAGTGGAGCCGCGGGGGGGCCGGAGAGGTCTGCCGCGCCGCGCGGGCATCTCCCTGGCGGGCTGGGAATCGAACCGGCACCACAGAGGCTGCGGCAGCTTCACAGCGCCGCGCTCAGCCCGCTGCGCCAGCAGGGGGAGGCCCAAGCCCTGGGATCTTCCGCCAGCAGGATGCCGCCCTTGGCGAGCAGGGAGCTTAACTCCGCCCGAGCAGCCTGAGCTTCCTTTCCCTGGGGCCTCCCTGGACACGGAGCACAGCGTCCGCCCCTCGGGAGTGCGGTCAGCGTTTCAGCATTAACGTGACGCCGGCCATGGGATTGTCGCGTAGCTCTTTGAAGCAAGATGGGCTTCTGTATGCACGCAAGAGCTGGGGCGCAGGCCCGAGGGGCGGGTGAGAGGACTCCCCAGAGACAGAGTGGGGGGCGGAGCCGGCGGAGCCACCGAAACCCACTGCCGAGGGGAGCAGCGGGAGACTGGGGGGGGGGTCTGCCTCCCGTGCGGGTGGGCGCCCGGCCGGGGACGGAATCGCGCTGCAGAGGCTGTGGAGAGCCTCCTCGCGCCGAGTCTGAGCCCCGGGAGGTGCCAGGTCGCAGAGCGCATGAGAGACAGGAACTCGCAGCCCGTGTCGCTGGCGGGCGGCGTGCACCAGCGCCCCTCGGTCTCTGGTGGTGAGGTGCGGCGGGTCCGCCTGTGTTGTGACAAACAGCGTCCCTCTGGCGCGTTGGCACGGCGGGAGCGGCGTCCCCGTCAGCCAGCCCCCGGGCTGGGGCGCTTGCCTTTCCTTCCCGGCTCCCCGAAGTTGCATGTTTACGCTGCGGCTGTGCCCCGGCCACCGCCAGCCCTCGGGACCCGCCTGCCAGCCGCCGTGTGGCCGGCAGCCTCCCTGCCCGCCCGCCCGCCCCGCCGCCGGCGTTGTCACCGCCGGGGCTCGCTCCCCGTAGGGTCACCTGTTCTCAGCCTGCCCAGGGCGGTCCAGAGGCCTCGCCCCTGCCTGCCGAGGCCCACACCTGCCCACGCGCGCGGGGCCATCCTGGCGCCAATAACTTTTTCACCCTTTCACGCTTTTAACCTTTTTAAATTTCATTTTTCAAAATCTCTCATCTATCGAGAAACCCTACGTTGCTGCCACATCTCGCCAACGCCGCGTCGCGCCTCAGTCAGCGCGGGAGTGCCGCCATCGGGGGAAACCTGCCTGTGTTGGGCAGGGCAGATGCCCAGGCCTGGGGTGCTGTGCCACACAGTATTCTCACGACCCCCTCTCCCTGTGCTGACGCGGCCAGCATCACACCGACTGTGCCTGGGCCTGCGCTGCCCGTCCCCCGACACGGGCAGCTCCTGGGCTGTGGTGCCGGCCATTCCGGCTGGGGAGAGGCGGTTCCTCTTGGGGTCGGGTGCATTTCCCTGATGACTAGAGACCCCGAGCGCGTTCGCACAGGCTTTTTCAATATTGTCATTTCTCTTTAGGAAAAGGTCTGTTTCCTCCCATTTCAAAACAGGGTCGCTTGTTGTGCTGCCTGCTCGTGTGAGCTCTTTGCACACCTCGGGCACAATCCCTCGTCCCTCCCGAGCTTTGCAAACATTTCCTCCCGTTCTCGAGGTTGCCATTGTATCATCTGCTGCTTGCTCGGCATCAGCTTTTAAAGTTCAATGCAGACCCGCTTGCATTGTTTCCTTGTGTCCTTTGCTCCTTGTTGTCCTGTCCAAACAGCCGTGGCCAAGAACAATGCGAGGAGCCTCTTCCCGGGGTTTTCTTCTGGGGGCTGCGTGGTATCGGGTTTAATATTTACGTTTCGGATCCATTTTGGTTAAATTTCGAGAATGACACGAGGGTCCGATGTAATTTTTCTGCAGGAGGTTTCCCAGTTTCCCCGCCACCGTGCTCTTGCCGGCCTCAGCCAACAGTCGCTGGGTCCGCGCGCGGCGGGGAGGGTTTGTGGCTGGGCGCTCTCTTCTGTTCCACCGGTTTATGTGTCTAGGCTTGGGCCGGCACCGCCTGGTTGCGTGGCTCTCGCTTGGTAGATGGTTTGAAAACAGGAAACGAGCTTGTTCTTTCTCACAACGCCTTGGACTCTTCGGGGTCTTTGGGACAACGTGCAGGGCGGTCCTTTCCGTGCCTGGAAAAAGCTGCCGGCGTTGAAGAGATTGCAGTGCATGCACGATGTCTTTGGGCAGGAGGACATTTTAACAGAAATAACCCTCCCCCTCAACACCGCTCCCCGCCCAAAATGCCCGGGGCTGCACACCCTCTAGGAGAAGGAATTCACCAGACTGCTAGGTGGACAGGAAAGGCTTTATTGGAGGCTCTTGGTGAGGGTGAGGCAAAGTGCTAGAAGAGAACTAGCCGGGTTCCCTGAGTCCGGCTGACTCCCCCACCTGCCCTGCCCCCCGGGACTTTACCCTCCCCGTCAAGGAGACTTGGGCCAAGGTCTCCCCTCTTGTAGCTGCCTCCTCCGGGCTGGGTCGTTGTCGTCCGTCCGGGACGGGAGCACCTTTTGCTGCCCGTTCCAGCAAGTGCTGGGAGCGACGGCCCTCCCGGGGGGGACGGCGGGGACCTTGTGTCGCGTCGTGTCCGTGGGGAACGTCCGCAACCCGGACGACCCCAGCCTGGTCCGCCGGCTCAGCAGACGGGCTCGGCTCGCTTGGGGCGGGGTGTCAGCGCCCACGCTCATGGGCCTGAGGCCCGAGACCGGCTCACGCGCCGCCCGGCCGGTGTCTCCGAAGGCGACAGAGGTCTCGGGTTTTACGAGAGGACAGTTTTAGTGCTCGGTGACTCGAGATCAGAAGGTCGGGGGAGCGGCAAGAAGGGCCGCTTTGGAACACACCGCCAGACGCTGCCAAGTTAGGGATCCGGTGCGATTTGCGGGGAAGAAACAAAGACATCCCAACAAGTGAAGGGGACCGGAAACCGACGTCCAGCAAGACCCTCCTGAGTCGTGACTTCTCCTCACCCTCCCCCAGCTCTGCCCGATAATTACCCTCAAGCTCGTTTGCAGGTTAAGCCTGGTCTCAGTCGCGGTGGCCCGATTCTGGTCTGCCCACGGGCACGAAATACAAGTCTACTTTTCATTAAAACCTGCTTTCCTGGAGTTGACAAGGAGTCTCAGTCGAGCTCTTCACAGTGAGCTCCTCAGCTGGGGACCAGATCCAGGTCTGCCCATCGGACCTGGCCTGCGAAGCCTGCGTCTGCGGGTAAGGCCTTCCTCACAGTCCCAAAATGCCCTGGGGTCTCTGGGTTTGCCAAGGGTGACCTTCCTTGACTTTCCCTAGAAGACCTGGAGCCCTCAAAGCAAGGAGTCAGGCTGTCTCCTCCCTGCAGCAGCTGAGGTCTGTTCCCTGGTAGAGCAATGTGGTTGCTCAAATGCAACCTTCGACCATGATCTCAGTCTCCCAACACTCCTCTGTGGAAGAGGAAAAGGAGGGCCGTATTGACTCCTGCACGTAGACACGTTGCCCTGAGGAATACAAAGATTGTGGAAAGTTCGCACCGTGGGGCGGGAGGCGGAGACAAGCACAGGTTCTGGTTTTGCTCACGGGACCTGCTCCGTCCCATGGGCACCGTGACACAGCTCAGAGGGGCGCTTTCTCGAAATAAATGCAGAGCATCCAGAACTAGCATTTCCAAAGATCGTGAGGTTTGTGTTAGTCGTTCTCGGTGTGTTTAGTCGTTTGGAGCGAGTCTCAGTCTCGTGTTGGCAATTTCCCTGAGTCCAGTCGTTCTGTGGGCTCCATGATTTTGCCTGTATTCCCGGACCCCACCAGCCCTCTGCTGCGAATCATTCTGGATGCAAACTTCAGTAACTAACCTCTGTAAATAGCAAAAGATTTGCAGGTAACCATCATTAACATCTGATTCCAAGGCAATCAGCAAGGGTGCTTGCTCAACTTTTGGAAGAACCAGAACATATTTTACATATTTTAGAAGAACCAGAACTGACTTGGAGCTGGTGGTAACGTCCATTACTTCTGGGACCAGACACTCAGGTCCAGACCCTGCTGGGAGTCAGGTCTCAGCTCCCAGCCTGCGGCTTGTGATGCTGTAATTTCTCAGGCCTAGTCTCCCGGCCAGGAACGATCCCAGGCTGCAGCGGCGGCACTGAGCCCCAGCCACGAGACCACCACAGGCTGGTGTCTCAGGAAGCCGTAAAAAGGAATTTGCAGGCATTTTAGATAAGTAAGCAGAGAGAGACAAACTTCATTTAAGAAAGGAAAGAAGCTCTTTAATCTGATGTAGTCCCAGCTGTTGATCTTTGCCTTCACTGTCACTGCTTTGGGTGATGCGTCTGTAAGGATGTCTTTGAGGTGCATGTCATGTAGTGTTTCGCCTGTATTTCCTTCTATTATTTTATGGTCTCAGGTCGTATGTCTAGTTCTTTAATCCCTTTTGAGTTGGTTTTTGTGCATGGTGTGAGGTAGTGGTCAAGCTTCATTCTTTTGCATGTAGCGACCCAGTTTTCCCAGCGCCATTTATTGAACAAACTTTCTTTGCTCCAGTGCATAGTCTTTGCTCCTTTGTCAAAGATTAGTTGACCATAAATCTGTGGGTTTATTTCTGGATTTTCTATTTGGTTCCATTGGTCCATTTGTCTGCTCTTGTTCCAATACCATGCAGTTTTTTTTTTTTAAAGATTTATTTATTTATTTATTTATTTATTTATTTATTTATACAAGCACTGGGTACAGTCAGAAGCGCGGGAGGGTGAGAGAATTCTCCAGAGCCAGAGCGGGGAGCAGAGCAGGCAGAAGGACCGAAGTACACTGCTGAGGGGAGCAGCGGGCGGCAGGAGAGGTCTGCGCGCCATGTGGGACCCTCCTCTGGTGGCCGGGGAGCAGCCGGGGATCGAACTGGCACTGCAGAAGCTGCGGGCAGCTTTGCAACCCAGCGCGCAACTGCTGTGCCACCGGGGAGGCCCCTATGCAGTTTTTTTTTTTTTTTTTAGAGGCATGTTTTTATTTATTTATTTATTTATTATTTGTTTGTTTTGTTTTGTTTTTTGTTTATACATGCACTGGGTACAGTCAGAAGCGCGGGAGGGTGAGAGAATTCACCAGAGCCAGAGCGGGGAGCAGAGCAGGCAGAAGGACTGAAGTACACTGCTGAGGGGAGCAGCGGGCGGCAGGAGAGGTCTGCGCGCCATATGGGACCCTCTTCCGGTGGCTGCGGATCGAACTGGTGCCGCAGAGGGTGTGGGCAGCTTCGCAACCCAGCGCTCAACCGCTGCGCCACCGGGGAGGCCCCCCCATGCAGTTTTGATTATTATGGCTTTGTAGTATAGTTTGAAATCTGGGCGTGTGATGCCTCCATTCCCTTCTCTTTTTTTTTCAGGAGAGCTTTGGCTATTTGGGGTTTTGGTGGCTCCATATGAATTTCATCAATATTTGTTCTATTTCTTTGAAGAGTGTCATTGAAATTTTTGTTGGAGTAGCGTGAATCTGTAAATTGCTTTTGGTAGGATGGCCATTTTGATAATGTTAATTCAATCCATGAGCAGGGGATGTCTTTCCATTTCTTTGTGTCTTCTTCTATTTCTTTTAATAGTGTTTTATAGTTTTCTTTGTATAGGTCCTTTACCTCTTTTGTTAAGTTTATTCCAAAGTATTTCATTTTTTTTGTTTCAATAATAAAAGGGGGCCTCCCCTGGTGGCGCAGCAGTTGAGCGCTGGGCTGTGAAGTTGCCTGCAGCCTCTGTGGTGCCGGTTTGATCCCTGGCCACCGGCGACGGTCCCACATGGTGCACAGACCTCTTTTGCCACCCGCTAATCCCATCAGCAGTGTACTTGGGTCCTTCTGCCTGCTCTGCTCCCCGCTCTGGCTCTGGTGAATTCTCTCACCCTCCCGCGCTTCTGACTGTACCCTGTGCTTGTATAAATAAATAAATAAATCTTTAAAAATAATAATAATAATAATATTTCTTGATTTCTTCTACATCAAATTAAAGAGCTTCTGTACAGCAAAAGAGACAGTAAGGAAAACAAAGAGATACCCCACCGAATGGGAGAAAATTTTTGCACACAACACTAATATAAATGACTGATCACCAAAGTCTATGAAGAGCTAAAGAGATTCAGCAAAAACAAAGTAAATAATCCAGTCAAAAAATGGGCAGAACAGCTAAAAAGACACTTCTCCAAAGAGGAAATGCAAATGGCCAACAGGCCTATGAAAAAATGTTCAGCATCACTTATAATCAGGGAAATGCAAATCAAAACTACCATGAGATACCATCTTACACCAGTGAGAATGGCACATATTAAAAAAACTAGCAACAACAAATGAGGGTGTGGAGAAAAAGGAACTCTCCTGCACTGTTGGTGGGAGTGCAAACTGGTCCAACCACTATGGAGAGCTGTGTGGAGACTCCTCAGCCTACTAAAGATGGAGCTACCATATGATCCAGCAATTCCACTCCTAGGTATTTACCCAAAGGACACAGAAACATCAATTCCAAAGAGCACCTGCACCTGCACCTGCACCCCTATGTTTATAGCAGCACTGTTTACAATAGCTAAGCTCTGGAAACAACCCAAATGCCCAAAAATAGATGACTGGATCAAGAGGATGTGGTCCATATACACCATGGAATATTACTCAGCCTTCAAAAAAGATAAACACATGCAATTTGCAGCAACATGGATGGCGCTGGCAGGGATCATGCTCAGCGAAATAAGCCAGAAAGAAAAAGAAAAATACCGGATGGTCTCACTCATGGCAGGAATCTAGAAAACCCAAATAAGGCACCAGGAAAAAGACTAATTATAATAATGTAAAAATCAAAATCAAGAAGCAACTGTAAACCAGAGACACACTACGGGGACGGGGTGGGGGGAGAGGAAGGATTAGGGTCAAAATAACGGGTGGGAATTGTGTGGGGCATATAACCAAGACGAAAATGCATACATGGTGCAAAAATGAAAAATGATGTAAAAAATAAATAAAATAAAATAAAAAGAATGTAAAGAAAAATTTATTTGAAGAAAGCAAGGACTCCAAGCACGCTGGGCTCGCCGTGGGCCTGGGCCTCAGGGCGTTTGAACCTGTCTCCTCTATTCTGGAATCTCATCCTCCCACTGTGGGACTGGCTGGGCCTCCCAGGGGGTCCTCCTCCGGCAGATGGGCGCATCTCCCCAGCTCTCCTCTTGGGGTTTCCCTTCCCTCCCTCCCAAGTTTTACTGTCTCTGTTTAGTCTTCCTGGACTTTTGACCTCCTGGCTGGAGCGCATTTTGGTGAGCACTTCTTAGAATTCATTGTCTTTGCTTAGAAGCCTGTTTAACTCTCCCGAAGCCCCTGCCTGCGCTATCCCTGCGGCTGCCTGCTTAAGCCTAACTGGCCCTGGACTCACTTGGACTCAGGTGGGGCTGCTGGAGACGGACGACAAAATGAACCCCAGGGGACACCAACGTGCAGTTTCAAGGTTTATTTCATTTGTTCCATGACGTTTCAGAGGCTTGGTGTGACTGCAGCAAAGACCCCTCCCGTCGGATCTCAGCCTTGCAGGCCCGGGCTCCCGTGGCCCACTCCGGCTCGGGCTGGTTCATAGACCCTCATTCTGTGCCTCCCTGGTTTCGAATGAGGGAGTGTCTAATTTATCTTCACCTGTTTTGGATTCCTCTTTAATCATTGTCCTTTCATCCAGGGCCTTCTCCTGTGCATCCACGGAAACTTCGTCCAGTGACTTCTCCTCTGCGTCCACGGAAACTTCGTCCAGTGACCTCTCCTCTGCATCCGTGGTCACTTCATCCATTCTGGCTTTCTCTTCGTCCACCGTGACTTCTTTGACTTTGGTGGTCACGATCGTCCGCACGTTTGTGGCCACGCCGAACAGCAGCGCAGCTATGAGGATGTAAATGCGCGCGAAGACTATTCTCAGGATGACCAGGGGCATCTCGCTCTGTTTGACTGAGCGGTACATTCTGGGCGGGGGGCCGCTGTCCACACTCCCGCCCGCGCCAGGCTTCAGGCACTGGGGAGGGTCCCAGCCCACGTGGCAGTGGCAGTTCCTGTTGCTGTTGCAGACCCCTCGGAGGCCACACTTCGTGGGCAGACAGTCGTAGCCTATGTCGGTTATGCGCCCGCTGCATTCGTTTCCAAGACAGAACAAGTCAAGGCCACAAGGGGTGCCATTTCTCACGTGGCCGACGTCCGTGGTTTCCGTGCCTCGGTGCTCATCCACCCCAAAGCACCAGGACCCTGCCAGCAAAGACTGGTGGAATCCGACGTGCTCCTGCAGCCGGGGGAGATGGGTCACGTTGGCACACTGCAGCCGTCCGCACTTCATGTCGCTGGGCTCGCATGCCACAAATTTATTCAATTTAGGCCTTCTCCAGCAGTGTCCAAAGCGGTTACCCCTGGTGTTGATCGCGTAGCAGGCATCAGGGGCGTCGTGGGCGTGCTCCCCAAAGATCTCCCTGCAGTGCATGGTGCGGTCCGTGCAGTTTCCACGGTAGCAGTAGCCCTCCTCGGTGCACGGGGTTCCGTCCTGCATGTGGACGTTCAGGGGGCAGTCCAGGGTGTCGCCCCGGCAGTACTCCGGAAGGTCGCAGATGTTGACGGCGGGTCTGCAGAGCGTGCCGGCCGGGGAGAACTTGCATTTGGTGCAGCAGAGCCCGGTGTCGCAGACGCTGCGGGGCGTGAACTTGCAGCTGGTCAGGCAGCAGGGGTCGCTGTAGCACTGCTTGAAGGAGCCGCAGTCGCACTGCTCGGGCGACTCCAAAATACTGTTCCCGCAGCGCTCGTGGGTCAGGCTCTTGTTGTAATACACAGTGTCCGTGGCTGAGTACAGGCAGCTGCTTAAGATGGTTGAGTAGATGTGCCCCATGTACTTGAAAGAGCAGTTGCTGAAGGCGTCCGTCAGCACTGGGTACAGGCTCATGATGCAGGTGGTCCGCCGCTGGCAGACGCAGCCCACTGTCTTATCATATTGGACCCCGATGCTTCGCGCCACCTGGCTAGTGGCAATGATGGACAGCAGTAAGACGTGTCTGTTCATGTAGCCCAGCATGAGCGTGGCGTTGATGCCGCACATGCCGGAGAGCCTCACACCGTACTGCAGCTCGTGGGGCCCGTCCTTGCTGAGGATCAGGGCCGAGTGGGTGTTCAGGCTGGGCTTCAGCGTGCTCATATAGTACTGCGCGAACGGGCTGGAGAAGTGGTGGTAGGGCTTCAGGCTCGCGGGGTCCCCCCTGTTGTATATGATGAGGCTGCTGATGTGGTACCTGACGTCTAGGCCCTGCAGCAGCGTGTCCATCAGGCTGCCCAGCTGCAGCAGGAACTGGGCGGTCTCAGACACGTTGTCCTTCACATCGTACATTGACCTGGAGCTCAAGAGCAGGCCTTTTATACGTGCCGCATGGGACGCAAAAATCTTACTGGATAACCGGGGGCCCACAAGGACGTTGGCTCGGGCGAGCTGGGGGTCCACAACCTGCTCCTCCCCCAGCCGGTATGTGGGCCCCGTGGCGTTGGCGTCTGCCACGAGCTGAGACACGACGTGTTCAAAGGTGGGGGAGCCCCGGAGGGGCTTGACTTCGTAGGCAAGGTCATCCAGCTTCATGATCCCCTGCAGACCCCCGTAGCAGGTGTCCACGGTGACCATGGAGAGAGGGACGTCCTCCAGGTAGCCCAGGTAGTAGCAGTCCAAGGGGAAGAAGGGGTAGTCCGCCTGCAAGGCGCCCTGATCGTCCTGGGTCATGAGCAGCAGGTGTCGGGGCCACACCAGCCTCTTGCGCCGCACGTGGATCACGTGCCTGTGGCCCCCGAAGCGCAGGCTGTAGGAGAGCCAGCCGGGCGCGCGGACGCCCTTGCCACGGCCCAGCTCCTTCCTGGGAATCACCACCTCGGAGGACACGTAGCGCCACGAGGGGCGGCCGGGGGAGGCCTGGCCCGGGGCCAGCACCGCCCAGAGCCCACAGAGCGCCAGCAGCAGGCGGGCGGCCCTGAGGCCGGCCTGGCCCGTGGTCCTGCTCGGAGCCATGCGCCGGTGAGACTGGAGAGAGGGTGCGAAGCCAGCCCTGACCCCGCTCAGCCCCTCCTGCCGGGGCCCCTAGTGACACAGGCCCTGCCCTGGGCGGGCCACGGGCCTTAGGTAACAGTCAGGGGCGTGGCGGGGGCGGGCGGCCTCCGCTCAGCTGGGGGGCCCTGGGGCTCTGGGCCCTGCCTTTGGGGCAAACATGGAGCTGGGTGGGGTGGGCTGACGCAGGGGTCCAGGGGCTACAGGGAGGAGGCCGGATGGGGACGGAGCGGCCCCCCCCACCCGGGCTGGTTTTCAGCAGCAGGGGACGCCCTATTTGCATGTGTCCTGCTATATAGCAGCTCTGGCTGGGTCTGGGCCAGAGGAGCCGGGGAGGGTCCTGGGACGTGGGGTCCTGACACACAATGAGCAGGTCCCTTATTAGGGCCAGAGCTGGTGACCCTGAGCCCCTGTTACTTGCTGGGATGCAGGCCCCGGTGCTGGTGCTCACACGTGCTCTGTGGGGTCTTCTCATTGAGATCTTTATGTTTTGGGTCTGCCGTTTGCCTGAAGGGTCATTTCAGTTGCAATGGTTGCTTTTTGTTGTGACTTTTCATTTGTGTTCATGCTTCACAATGGACATGTCTCACATGCATGCCACGCAAGCCTCACCCCTGAGTCTGTGGATAGTATTCTCATTTTCATGCCTCTGCTTTTGCAGAATTCATGGTTTCCATTTAACTAGTCTGGAAAACAAGTATCTTGAACTGTGCCTTTGTGTCTCATTAATTGGTGTCTTCTGTTTATTTTTAAAGTTTTATTTATTTATTTTTTTTCTTTTTTTTTTTTTTTAATTTTCTAGAGGCATGTCTTATTTATTTATTTATTGTTTGTTTGTTTGTTTGTTTGATACATGCACTGGGTACAGTCAGAAGCGTGGGAGGGTGAGAGAATTCACCAGAGCCAGAGCGGGGAGCAGAGCAGGCAGAAGGACCGAAGTACACTGCTGAGGGGAGCAGCGGGCGGCAGGAGAGGTCTGCGCGCCATGTGGGACCCTCCTCTGGTGGCCGGGGAGCAGCCGGGGATCGAACCGGCTGCAGAGGCTGCAGGCAGCTTCGCAACCCAGCGCTCAACCGCTGCGCCACCGGGGAGGCCCTATTTTTAAAGTTTTATTTATTGATGCATACAAGACCTGGGGTGCAGGGCAAAGGTCCAGGGGCCGTGGACTCCCCAGATACAGAGTGGGGAGCAGAACAGTCAGCTCTACTGAAATCCACTGCTGAGGGGAGCAGAGGGGAGACAGGGGAGTCTGCAGCCCCTGCGGGTAGCTCCCTGTGTGGGGATCGCACTGGGACTGCAGTGGCTGTGGAGAGCTGCATCGTGCAGAGACTGAGCCACTCGAGCCACAGGACCCCCCGGTGTCTTTGTGTTTCTGATCGTTTCTTTCCTTCCCGGAACCATTTTAATTCGTTGTCGCCCCATGTGTTAACATCGTTTGGCTTCCCCGGTCTCGGGCGCCCAGGCCACGCGGACGTCCCCTGGGCCGTGCCGAGGGCGCTGGCCTGGCCTTCCCCTGTGCTGACGCGGCCCTGCGGGCACAGCCGGGGGGAACCGCCTGTGAGGAGGACACGGACGGCTCTGCAGCACGAGGCGCTTCTTCACGGCGCAGCCCGCGGCTGTCGCGCAGGACGGACGCCCGCGTTGGCAGCCGCGTGGGGGACCCGCGAGGCGGCGCTGAGAGCAGCGAGTGCAGGAGAAAGACACACGCTGTCGGCACCTCCGTGTGCAGACAGAGAAACAGGCAAAGGTGCCGCAGGAACCAAAGCGGAAATACACCTGGACGTGTGAGTGCAGAACTGGGGCCACCGAGGGGGGGGGGGACTGGTGTGGGGCAGGAGCAGCCCATGGAATGTGTGGGGGCCCTGGGGAGCCCAGGGCATGGAGGGTGTGAGGGCGCCTGTGTGAGTGTGGACCCGGGACCCGAGGAGCAGACGCGAGGATGTGAACCCGCTTTTCCCCAGAGGACAGTGAACAGCAGGTGCCACACGTCGTGACCATGGGGATCGTGTCTGTGTCGCCCCCGGGCACAGGGGCCCCAAACGGGGACTTGTCCGCACGGGGAGAGCCTGAGAAACGTTCCCAGGGGAGACCGTGACGACCCCGCGGCCCGACGGTGGCTCGTGGGGGATGGAATGAGACACGTCCCCGCAGAGACAGAGCAGGTGGAGTCACGACCCGTGGCCAGAGCCTGTGACTCGGCCAACACCCCCCAGGGAGGGACAGAGCAGGCCTGACCCACGGGGACACCGGGGAGGCTCGGTGATTAGACGGACATTGTCCCTGAAGAAATTATTTGAAACTGCTGGAAACCATTCAAAAATTGTTTTTGAAACACTCAAGAGAGTCAATACATCAGAAGCAGAATTCAATGCCAGTAGAAGGAGGAAATACAGTTTAGAGCAGAAGAAAATGGAAAAACGAGTCAAAAGACAGCTCAGTAACAGTGATAAGCAAGGGTGGTACTTGAAAAACAAACCATGTAGACAAATTCTGAGCTCCAATTAGAAAAATGGGAGAAAACACTCATGACAAGAAGGGAAATGGAGGAGGAGACGCGGCCACAGACCCTGGAGAGGGAGGATCCTGCAAATGGGTTCACACCCGCGGAGACCCCACGTCACACATCGGGGAGACGGGAAGGATCCTCGCGTGAGAAGCGAGGGTGACGCTGCCCCTGTGGGCAGCAGACGTGGGGAGGGACACGGAGACCCCGACAGGCCCACGGAGACGGGGAGAAGCCGCGTCAGGGCCGTGACGTGCAGGCTCCAGACCCCGCGTGTCTGTGGGGGGTGACGACCCGGGCCCAGTTCTCACGGGGTTGGCTGCTCTCGGCTGATCTCAGACTGTGTGTGTGTTTGTGGTCACGGCCTCCCTCACGTGCCCCCACTGGCTCCTCATCTCTGTGTCTCTGTGTCGGGTTCTCCGTTTTACGACATTTGCTTGAGCAGAATCACTGTTTCCTCCCGGGAGCGGGACAGCAAGTATTTCCTGGACGGGCCTCTCGGCCGCACACCCAGGTCAGGTCCCCACGCACGGAAATGGACGTTCTCTCCCGGGCGGCCTGTCAGGGGGACTCCTCTGCCTTGGGCGTTTGTGTCTCTGAGGCATTTGGATGGAGTCGGTGGCCCTGGCTGGGGCCCACACGACCTTCTGTCACGCGTGCAAATCCAGGGTCCACGGGGGGCCTGGATCAGGTGGCCACGTCCCCCGCAGAGGCCTGTCGGGTTTCCTGGCTGTGCATTAAATCTCCAGGTCTCTCGGGGTGACCCCCACGTGCGCAACATGCAGGCTCCTCCCCGCGCGTGGGGGCCCCTCCCCGGGGACTGAGGGTCACGTTTTCTGTCTCCAGTTCCCCAGTTTTCTCCTGAAGATCCTACGAATGCCGCGAGACGTGCCCCGAGCGTGTGGTTTCGAGCTGGTGCGTCAGCAACATTATTTCACTCTATGTCCTGTCAGCCTCGTGTGACCTTCTCCACAGAACGAGGACGAGACGAGCAGCTGCGTCGTGACGGTGGACCCTGCAGACGAGCCTGCGCGTCAGCCGTGCTCCCCGCTGCTGATGACCGCGAGGCGCCGGGGGACCGTCCTGCATGTCCCACGGAGACTTCGTGTCCGCTGTGGACGGATGGTTTTGTGTCGCGTCCCCTCTGTCTGCTTTCCTGTCTGCTTCACGGCCTGGGCTCAGACCTCAGCACTATTTGACAGGGAGGGACAAAGCGGACCAGGCTCCTTCCCGCCCTTGGGGAGAGGCTACCAGTGGGTCACAGTCCTGTGAGGTTCTGGTCAGATTGCACCGGGGGAGTGACCCCAGGCTGGACCTGAGAAGGACAGAGGGATGGACTCCCAGTGGGAGAGGGCAGGGATTGGCCTGGACGGCAGGTCCAGGCTGGAGGTCCTGTCCCTGTCCATGTCCTCCCACAGCCATGAGCTGAGTCCAGGACTGTGAGCTCGGAAGGCCCCTGGTGGTGGTGGGCCTGGGTGCTGCCCCCTCCTGTCCTGCAGGGTCTGTGTCTGGCCACACCCGCCCCTCCCCGTGTCCCCCCAGTAATAGTAAGTAACAGACACCTGACAGGTGAGTATCTCGTCCCTGGGGAGGTCTCACTTGTGCACAGACAGAGTCACTTTCTCCTTGGGGCGCTAGGAATGTGGGGAGCAGGAGCCTCAGTGGAGAGCAGTGGTGCCCTGGGGAGCTGGGGTCTTGCAGAGGGAACCCCAGACAGGAAGCCCCTGCCCCTCACCCTTGCACCTGCTCCCGGGCTATGCTCTGAGCTCTGAGCCTCCTGGGCCTCCCTGTGTTTCTGGGCTCCTGGTGTCCTGACACGCCCCAGAGGACCCCCAGCCCTGCCTCGTGTCCTGCAGGGTTTGTGTCTGGGCTCACACCCGCTCCCCTCACTGTGTGTTTCGCACAGTAATACACGGCCGTGTCCTCGGGCCTCAGGCTGCTCATTTGCAGATACTCCGAGTTCTTGGCGTTGTCTCTGGAGATGGTGAATCGGCCCTTCACGGAGTCTGCGTAGCTTGTGCTACCACCAGTATCAATTATTCCAACCCACTGCAGCCCCTTCCCTGGAGCCTGGCGGACCCAGCTCATGGCATAACTACTGAAGGTGAATCCGGAGGCTGCACAGGAGAGTCTGAGGGACCCCCCAGGCGGCACCAAGTCTCCCCCAGACTCCACCAGCTGCGCCTCACCCTGGACACCTGCAAACACAGACACAGCCCGTCAGGACATGGCTCTCGCCCACTGCTTCCCCCTCCTCAGGGATCCTGCCCCCAGGAATCACCCCCTAGAAGAGCCACGAGCAGCAGCCAGCTCAGCCCACGCTCCATGGCGAGTGTCCGCGTCCGTGCTGACCCGAGTGGACCCTGGGTGCGGGCTGGGCTCCTGTGCGGGCTGCAGGGCGGGCCGGGCTGGTTTTCAGCAGCAGGGGACGCCCTATTTGCATGTGTCCTGCTATATAGCA